AGAATGACAAACATTCTGTTTGTGGACATTGGAGTTTGCATGATCAACCCTTTTTTTGGATGATAAACTCCACACACCCCATCTTTAATTAGTATTGCAGCTCGCTTTTCTTGCAATTGGCCAATGCTCAGGAGGTTATTTTTTAATTTTGGCACATAATACATATATGTGTTGACTTGTGCAATTCCATTGACATGAAATTTGACATTGCCTCTACCAATTACTATCGTCTTTATGTCATTGCCAAGCTTTACTGATTGACGAAATTGTTCATCAATATCAGTGAACCATTCCTTGTTTCCACTCATGTGATTACTACATCCCGAGTCGAGAAACCAAAGCTCCTTTCCCTTGTCATCATTGGAGTCAACATGTGCCACCAAGAATATTTCTTCACTTTCATCTAATTATGCATAATTGGCACCTCGATCCCATTCAGGACATTTATATTGAAAATGTCCTAATTTGTGACAATTGTAGCATTCCACCAAAGCTTTGTTGAATAGCTGTCTACCTCTACCTCTTCCTCTTCCTCGAAAGCCTCATCTTCCTCTGCCCATTGCTCCGCTTCTGTCTTCATGTGTTACCTTAAGAACCTGCTCTTCTACCGAAGGAGTTTTGCATCCTTTGCTCATGAACAAGCAAACTACTCTGAAGCTCATCGATGCTCATCGTGGTGAGGTTGTGAGATTCTTCGATAGAGCAAAATACATAGTTGAATTTTGAAGTCATTGATCTCAAAATCTTCTCGATAATTACAATTTGCTCCATGTTTTCACCATGTGCTCTCATCTTATTGGCGATGGTTAATGTTCGAGCAAAGTATTGATCTACAGTTTCTCCTCCCTTCATCTACAGTATCTCAAATTCTCTGCGAAGTGCTTGCAACTGAGCTCGTTTCGCCTTTGTAGATCCTTGGATATCTCCTTGTTGAGGATGGTTTCAATGATGGTTCTGTCAATGGCTTGAAATAGATAATTCTTAACTTTTAGATCCTTGAGTTTTGCCTCTTCAATGGCTTTGCGTTCTGCTGTAGGTTGAGCTCCATCTGTAAATGTGGGAATTCCAGTTTCAATCAAGCTCCAATATTCCTTCGATCTCAGAAAATTCTCCATCAACATTGACCAATGGTCATAAAAACCATCAAACCGAGGTATGGCAGGTTGAACAAAGCTGCTATCTGTTGCCATAGCAAAAACTCTTTCAGAATATTTTCTTGACACTCTCACTCGTGTTTCACACTTTCTTCAATCTCAATCGCAATCTCACTAAGGAAGCTGCAGTTCCTTAGGCTTTGATACCAAATTTGTTGGGTGTAAAGGACTTAGCACACAACTCTGCAATTATAGAATAATTCTCGTTGTAATTAGAAAATGCAAACTGGTTGGCTTATAGCCTTACAAAAAAAGGGAAAATTTTGAAAAAACAAACATTCCACTTTTAGCTCTAACAGATCGTGGATCTTGGGGGAAGAAACATTCAAACTAATAGCTACTTTCCTAATAAATAGGAATTATTAAAAAACAAACTCTAATGACTCAACAGAAATAGTGTTTCAGCTTTCTAAAATCCAAAACTACCTCCATTATCTCTTTAGCTAAGTCCACAATAACTCATTCGACTCCTAGTAGATACAACATGTACACCACCTCTTACTGCAAGTTTGTGCATCATTTTTCAAATTTCAGATTACGGTATAACCTTAACTCTATATATAAACTGTACAACTGGAGAATACAAAAATGCGTGAACTTACTTCAATTGTCCATAAGTTATGGGGGAAAGCTTTGATTCTTTAATTTTTTTTTTTTTTTTTTTATGTCTCCTGGATTTCTTAAGATGGCTTTAACCTTAGAAACAATTCATTTCATGCCACTTGCGAAACTAAGTTTTATCACTTCATCCAGGGAATTTCTTCTTGTGTCTGAATAAGTCCGACTTCCTCCGTTGGTAAGGAAATAGACCTTGATTATGAAGAAAATAAATTAATTTCTAATATATACTTCGTCATGTGATTAACAGCTCCTACATACTTCAGTAAATTGTTTTTTGGGGATCCGTATAAATGAAGGTGAAATCAAGAAAATACTCAAAGATGAGTAATAATTCTGACAAGATAGGTACTTTGCAGTTTCCATATCAACTGTATTGCATCGAGTTGAAAACTCAAGAAGAAAATAGGTCTATCTCCAGTATTCTCAAACACGATGATGTACAACATATTGTTGAAGAATTGAATCGAAATGAGGAAAAAGTAATATTGTAGAGACAACATTCAAATTTTGATTTGGGCTCATAATAGCATTCCGGAAAGAAGACGACGATACGAGTAATACTCATCGCTAAGCCGTTCATCCATCCGAGTTCGTTTGAGACTCGAAAACTATTTTTTTCAAGTTTTAGTGCTATTTTTTTCATTTCGTTTATTTTGAATTCTTTTTTAATTTTAGTTTGTTTAAACTAGATTTTCATTAGTTTTAATTCTATTAAAATAGGCTTTCATGTAAACCCTTATAAATAAATGGTTATCTCATTGTTTTTTATTGTCTTTTATTAATAAAACTCGTGAGTTTAATTTTTCATAATTTAGTGGATTCCAAAATTCGTATTCTTAACATTTTCGCTTAAATTTCTTGTTTAGTGTTGCGTCAATGATATCAAAGCTGGCTTTCCTATCTCTATATCATTTATTCATAAGCGTGGGTGACATACCAATTACAAGGGCAGATTTGGACTCAACAAACTGACATCTTGACGATCTTACTACTCAGATCCAAGAGATTCATCAATTGTTTATGCGGTGCACTGGAAACAATGGGCAGAATAAACAACAGGCAAACAACAATGAACATATCACTGGGCCTGTAGTTCGGAGATGGAATAATATGAGATGTACAATAGAAAAAAGCGAATCGAAGTCAGAGGAGGAGTTTGAAGCGCTGCCGCGTAATCATCAAAATCGAAATACCTTTGATAATTATTGGATCAAAGCAGATATTCCCCAGTTCTTTGGTAACCTAAAAATCGAGAACTTTTTGGATTGGTTGATAGAGGTTGAACAATTTTTTGAAATTATGGATGTTTCAGAGAATAAAATGGTTCAAATTGTGGCATTACGTTTGAAATTGTATGTACCTTGGATGCATGCAAGGCAGTTGCACATTATCTAACTATACCAACGAGTTTATGCGGTTGGCAAAGTGAAATAATCTGTCAAAATTTGAAAATCATGGGTAGCTAGGTATACCAATGGTTTGAAGGTTGCTCTTCAAGATAGAATTGGGTTATAGAATATTTGGACATTGCAAGAAGCCATTAACATAGCGATGAAGGCTGAGATGATGGAATCTTATAAGAGGGTGACCACTTATAGGAGAATTCCCCCACTTGCGGAACCATCATCGTTGATTCCTTTGGACAAAGGGAAGGGCCACTACAAACTCCAGCCAACTCTAATAGGAGCAATATTAACAACAATGGTCGGTTTGGAAATAGAGGTCAAAATAGAGACACACCTCAGAATGCAAATCCGTATGCTAGGCCTGCAGGAGAAATTTGTTATAGATGCCACAAACCTAGGCATCGTTCCAATTACTGCCCGAAAAGAATACAGGTCAATTTGGTGGAGCCAGAGACAGTGGATAAGGAAGAAGATACTGAGGTGGAAGATAAGTATATAGGAGTTGAGCTTGCTGTTGAGGAAGGTGTGGAGAGGCTTAATTTGGTATTGCAACAGTTCATTTTGTCACCTAAGGAGGAAGGGCAATGTCACTGCATTTTTCAATCTCTTTATTCTGTCAAGAATAAGGTATGTGAAGTGATTGTGGACAATGGAAACTATGAGAATTTTGTGTCGAATAGATTGGTGAATTTGTTGAAGTTACCTACCACGAACCATCCTAAATCTTATTCCCATGGTTGGGTGAAGAAATGTCTTGCTGTTCTGGTTGCTGAAACTTGCAGAAGATAGTGAAGATCTTGTCCATGCACAAATGTAAGCTGAAAATTTATCAAGGAGCACTTCATATTAGCTGATATTCAGTTTCTCGGTTGCAAGTGGAATTCCCAAATATCGAAATGGCATAGAATCCTTGGGAATGTTAGTCATTGCAACGATATCCTCTAATTCTTGCCAATGAATACCCACCGCATACAAGCTTGATTTGCTAGCATTCATTCTAAGTCCCGACATCTCCAAATTTAGAAAGACGAATCATCAAAATCCTAACCAATTTTTATCCACATCCAAGTAACAATAGAGTAAATTGCATAGTATGTTCACGCAATGTCAAAGCAAGTAGCATGTGAAGGCACTTGAGAAGCACAATTGCTCTGCATCATGTGTCTTGTGTGAAAATAGGGACAAAACATCCCACCAAATTTTCTAGATCATTGTGGATGAGTAGGCCTTCTCGTTGGAGTGTTCCCAAATTATCTATCCCAGGATCAAATCCATCTTTATCCACAAGTAACAATAGAGTAAATTGATTCACAATGCACATCATTATTTTAACAGTCGATAACAAATTGTATCATTAGAACACAGTATAAATACAAAAGGACAGGAGGGAACAAAGATAACAAGGATTCTGCATAAATGCCAAAAAATAAAATTATTCAACATTTCTTTATTTTGAGCATTAGCTGCAAATACAATACTATAGCTTGGCAAATACAGGTTTTTTCTTCTGGCCCTGAGCTGATATTGCTTCGTTTAGATCATCAGATAGAAGGACACCCGAGTTCCATGTGGCGACATAATCCAGACCTTGATCCACTGTCAAATCCCTACTATGTATCAACACCCTCTTTGTACCAATGACAGCAAGGGGAGACTTCGCAGCAATTCCTGATATAGTCAAACACAAAATTTATCATGATATGAATGCTAGCCATTTTTTCCCCCCGTGTATTGACTTCTACATTCAAAGTAGATTAAGTGGTAAACTACTTTCGAAAACCAAAAAGATCCTAATTTCTTCATTCTCCAACATTTAGTTATGAAGGTAGAGTAAATTATAGAACATAAAAAACTGAATGAATACAAGGCATATGACGCTGAATCATTGGTCAAGTTCACGAAGCAACCATTTTGACAGCACTATATATATACACACACACACACACCCCTATATATACTCATCAAAAACAAAAAGAAGAAAAATTAAAGTCTGCAAGGAAATTTTTCTACCTTGAGCAGCATGATCCCCAAAACACACATTGTGTAGCATAATAGCAAAAATATATTAATGTATGTCCAAATACATAAAACATAATAGCAAAACTGTGAATTTCAAATATATTAGTCTGAGTGTGTCAACATGGTTATTAAATTGAGCACCCCACATTTAATCAATAAATGTTTATTCTCTTCTACAATTAAAAACTGGTATTCTTCTATACACACTCTACAGACACTCTTAACCCTTTTCTTCTTTTTGGATGACCTCACATTTTATGTGAGCCTCGGACTCACACCCTTGACACAAGCCTGTGACTTGGACATTACCAATTGGGTCCCGGTTGGCATAGAAAAAAATTTCTTTTAGTAAAATGAAAAGAATATGCATGACAATAGACAGGCATAATAAACTCTTAGAAGACTTGTCAAAAAGATTAAAGTCGCCAACAAACAAATAGAGAGCATTGGTAATAATGGATATTTTGTTTGAGAAATTATCTATTAATATTATTTGGAAAAAAAATATTTGATAGAGATGTTAGTTATTAGAAGACACGGCTTACTGTCTGACTTTCATATTACCATGGAGGAGTCAGTAACTCCAAAGTTTGAATTAGCAATTATTCGATCCTGGACTTTTCCAATACAACCAAATATGCAAAAATAGTTGACAATCTCACTTCAACTTGTTAATCAAAGTAAATTTCCTGATGTAGAGGGAATACGAATATGCCGTGATAAAGATTTATCTAGGATATTTTGGCGACTTCCCGAAAGGATCAAGCTCAACAATGAACTTCCTAAATACTTTCCCAAATTATTTTGCAAGAACCCCTCATTTCATGCGAGTCTGTTTGCTACACAACCTTTTCCAGCTCACCAAAACAAGGAAAGGGGAAATATGCTACTTCATTTATGTGGGTATCAGATATCTTTCTTCAGCAATGATATGAAGGTTAGTTGAGCCAAAATTACCAGAGGGTTGAAGAATCAGTCTAATATTTTATGGCCACATCAGCACCATAAAATATAGGTTCACATAATATCAAACAAAGCAACCTGTAATGGCACTTGAGATGTCTTTTACACCCATCCCAAGCCATTAAACGACAAACCCAGCCAGCAGTGAGGTAATATACACCAGCAAGGTATTTATATGTATTAAGCAACACAGTTCTCTAGTTTAGAATGTCTTAGTCACAGAGCAGCTACATTCAAGTTGCTCAGCTATATCACATAGTGACATACAAATTGGGTTGCTTCGTCGTACAAAACATTAGCTTCTTTCAAATAAATTGCAATATTCCAAATACTAGTCTAAGCAACTAACATACATGATATGAATTATAAAACAATGAAAGATGCATTTTTAATTGAAAGAAACATCACGTCGTCTGAAAGAAGAGAATGGCAAGTAATTACGGAAACTTTTTTAAGCATTGAGTTACACTCGCAAACCTTAATTAAGAAAATAATATGAATATTAAATTTTGTACATGAATTGAGACTGATGTGAACAACTAGATAATAAAATTCCAAGGCTCATAGTCAACATAATCTAATACATTATTCTCCACCAGTATTCAAACGCAAGCTTGATATGCGTTCTTTTTTATATGATGTATCTTTTCATTTTATTAACCGAATTATCAGATAATTTTAATGGAAACAGAGGCTTCAAGGATGTAATCACAGAGATTCATCTTTGTCATCGAAATGCCAAGCTTTAATTCAACATGGCAGAAGACCTTGGCTGCTACAAGCCATAACAAAATCAAGTCAAAATCCATTCACAAAATCCTAAAGACGGCCAAATCATTTGTGTTCTTATCTTCTACTTCATCCATCCATATTGCAACAAAATAATATTATGCCATATTAGCAGAGTTATAAAAAGACAACATTACCCTCAGCAATTGCCGAAACTCCATCCTCCATAGCTTCCTTGGAATCGAAAACCTGAGTTACCAAACCCAACTGCTTGGCCTCTAAACCCGAAAACCTCCGAGCCGTCAAAGACAACTCCATTGCGTTCCCGAACCCAACAATAGACGGAAGCCTCTGGAGCGACCCGAGATCAGCCGTGATCGCCAAGTCCACTTCTTTAACAGAAAAAAAGGAATTCTCGGTGCAATACCTTATATCACACGCCGTAACTATATCAACCCCTCCTCCAATGCACCCCCCATGAACAATAGCGATAACCGGCTTTCTGCAGTCCTCAATCGCCGTAATTGAGCGTTGCATGACCTTTATCTCCCGCCGGAGCTTCTCTCCAGTGCGTCCGGCGTCGTTGGAGACGGTATCATTGGACATGGAGTTAACAGTTTGGAGGTCGATGCCGGAGCAAAAGTGGGGACCTGCGCCAGCGAGAATGATGACGGCGACGTTAGGATTTTGGTCGAGAGAGGACAGAGCTTTCGGGAACTCGAGGAAGAAGTCAAGTGAGAGGGCGTTGCCACGCGAGGGGCGATTGAAATAGACGTAGAAAATTCGTGAGTTTGGGGATTTTTGCTTGATTTCGAGGGATTTGTATTTTCCTTCCATTTTTCTTTCCTTGGGATAATGGTTTTCCAGTGAACGGAGAGAATAATGACTTGGGGGAGATCGAAGGTGTGGCCCAACGCTACCTATATTTTGGTGGATTATGGATTGGCCCAAATCTACCTATATGTTCGATGAAAAAATCGTTGTCAAATGATTTGTAAACATGCTAGCGGGCCTAGACTAGAGAATAGGATTAAGAAAATTTTTGTCAAAAAGGTCCTACCGGGAGTCGAACCCAGGTCGCTGGATTCAAAGTCCAGAGTGCTAACCACTACACCATAGAACCTGTTTTATGCTTCCTCGTGTACTCTTTCCCTTTTATTCATGAGAGTTCAACAATGAGATTTCAATCTCTACCCTATGTTTCAACTCTTTTTGCTTCAAACCTTGCATTCTTCTGAACAACCAATCTTAGCATATTTTTGGCTAACATTTTTCTCTGCATATTTCGAAGTACTTCCACTAATTTTTATTTATAAACACTTTCAAACATAGTATTAGTTACGATAGAAATTTTTTTGTTACAAAAATTTACTATGTATTAGGATAGGACACATATAATTAAGCACTTGTTTGATCCTTTTTTTTTTTTTTCAAAATACATTTTTTTAATCTTATTTTTAATCACACATTTTTCAATAAAATTATATTACACGCAACCCAAAAACTTTTCCTTCATTTTTAATTATACATTCTCTATCGATATATTGTTTCAAAATGCATTCTACAGAAAAAATGGATTTAAATAATTAAAAAAATATATGATAAAATTTGTCAAAATTACTTAGTCTCTGTTTGACAACTATTATTTGGGAAAACAATATTTTAAATAGTGATTCTTATAAGAACGTGTGGTTAAAAAGTAATGAAAAGCTTTAAATTTACGTACAAAATATTTTATTATGTGAATGTTTGGTTAAAAATGTGTATTTAAAGAAAAGAATTTTCCAATAATATTCGTAAAAAAAGAGGGCTAAATTTTGTCATCACTTGAATAAATCACCCTGAATGACACCTCTGAACTTTATTGAAATAGACAAATTTGACAATCAATAATAAAGTGTGATCTGATCCTCGAAGATCCCAAAAATTAATTAAAGTAAATAAGGTTGTCCGTTTCTACCATGATTCAACAAAACAAATGACCTTGGAATTGGGTATTGGCTGCGCTCTACAATCACCTAATAATTGTCTAAATTATTGAGTAATTAAATTTTGAGGTCTGCTAAATTATTGAGTAATTAAATTTGGAGTTCTGCTATGGGTAAATTCCTGTACCCATACTGTATAGAAACAATAGTGGGTGAGTGGGTAGAAAAATCAATTTTTTAATCACATGGGATCTACCCCCATGTGAATAAAATTCAAATTTCTGGTGAAAATTCTGTAAAAAAAAAATTGTAATCACAGCATTTTTGTTAAATTTGATATTTACTTTTCTAGAGTCATAAATATATCCATGTTTGAGCCACATTAAAATTTCAATTTTCATTCTTCTACTCATTTTCAACCACACATTCTTCAATAAAATAATATTTTATATCACATCAGTAACTTTTTTTTCTTTTTCAACCACACACACTCCATTAGTCTACTATACAAAAATATATTCTTCCAAAATAATGTGGCTCAAACACATTATAGAGATAACTACTGTATATATATTGCGCGGGCCATGCATAAATTATGGAGATCTCTTGCATTCTGCTAAGATACTCATCCTCAAATTACAACTTACATACTGTTCGAACGAAAAATAAGACCATTGTTAAGTTACAAAGTTATTCATGTTTGAAGGATGCGCATACACGTGTTCAATAGAGTCGACTGTACAGTGCAATAGCGAGCAATATAAACGACAGTGAAAATATTTGTGCGAATTCAATGATGTGAAAACTCGAGGGTTTGTCCACATAAGGTATGTCAAGGCTTAAGAAGGTATAATCAATGAACAATAGATGAATATTCATGTACCATCTCCGGTAGGTCCTTAGGAAAATGGTTATCGATTAAAGAATATGAAGTGTCTTTGCTTTTTCAGGATAAGAAGGGGATAGTAAACATGTATGTGTTTAGAGTAATGTCAATTAGTACCATTGATTTTAAAACAGTAGTTTATGTGGCACTAATGTGATATTAAATTAGAGATATAATTAAATTAATCATTTAGTTCTATTTTTAATTGAGTCAATCACTTAATGTTACATCGACAGTGTTCTAGAGTCACTGGTGTTGATAGCATTATTTTTGTTTTTAACTACTTGAACTAAAAGTCTAGTCTATTGATAGGATAATGTATTTGTATTCTCTAAATATTGTCTTTTAAAGTCTACGTGACATCCATTTTTTTCCTTTAGAACCTTATCCTACACAGTTTCATTTATGGTGTGTTTGATTACAAGTATGAAACTTTTGATTACAAATATGAAACTTGTATGAAAAGAAAATAAGTTATAGACAATCAATTTCATCTAGGATGTGTTTGATTGCAAGTGTGGAACTTGTATGGAAAGAAAATAAGTATTTGCATTAAAATCATTAATTAAATGTGTTTGATTTGTTTAATTATCAACTTAGAAAATGTTATAAGTGAATTGCTTGAAAAATAAAAATATACACCTCCCAAAAAAATGTTTTCCTTGTTTTTTTACGAAAATATGGCCATGTGATCAACTTTTAGAAAATGTTTTCTGTTACGCTTAGCCAGCAAGGCTCCAAAAGAGCCCAACGCGACGATCCACATTATTGAAGGAGTCAAAGAAGATGTTAAAGTTTGACCAAGGTCAAGATGCTCCTAAGTGGCAGCCAAGTAGAAGCCAAAACCAATGCTCCCAAGAGGTCTAGCCAAAGTGCCTGCAAAGGTACCAGGCGAGGCTCCCAAGAGGTCCAGCCAAAGTGCCTGTAGAGTTCCATACTAAGGTAACAAAGAGGTGCATCAACCCGAAGCTCCTCAAGGACGAGGTTCTACTGTAACTGAAACTCCTTTCGGATGAAGCTATCGCTCTCTTACAAGATTTGCAGATAATGTTTAAGAATGATTAAAGTGACATTTGTAATGAAAAATGTGTCAAGTCGCCAACCTATGTTGTAGGGTAGCTGACCCGCTGTCAAAATATTAAATGCGTATCAAGCTAGTGATGTGATGCTGTGACCTGGGGGATGAAGCCACGTGCTCCTTCATCCAACGATCACCACTTCAGCTAGAGCCCTATAAATACCAACTCTTGTAACACTTATATGAAGGGCAACTGAATATAAAAAAATGCTCCATTTTATCTTCGCTTAATTTTTTAGTACTCTTATTAGCTTGTTCTACAATTATTAGTTTTATCCTTGGTTAGTTACTTTGATTTTCGATCGGTGATCGTTGTTAGTGCGATAATCTTTTGTTTCGTCCGCCGGAACTCGAATATATTTGTTTCTCGTCGCAAAGTACCCACGCGTCCATCCTCTCCGTGCTACCATCATCATTCCGATAGGAACGCACCTAAATCGTACTTGATTTGGCGTGAATGGACCAGACATCTGTTGGCTCATTTTTTAGGGTTAACATTTTCCATGGAAAAAATGTCGATCAAACACTAAAAAAGTGGGAACTTGAATAGAAATTGACATTTTTCATGAAAATAAAGTTAATCAAACGCACCCTTAATTTTTGTTTGGTAGGAAAAAATAATTAGCATGTATGGTCAAAAAGTATAGAAAAATTATGAATTCACGTGCAAAATTATTTTTATTAGAAAATAAGATGTTAAAAAATAGTTTGAAAAAAAAAAAAATTAATGAATAGTGACGGAACTTAACCTCGAGACATTTGACATCTCTAATACCACTTTGAATATGTAATTTTAAAGTTTAAATATTCAGTAAGAACAAATGTACATTATTAAAATATTATTTTTAACCATCTAGAGCCTATGTTCAGTCGATATGACGTTGGAATAATCCACACCATGCTCCCAAGAAATCTCGAAAGAAAAAAATAAAAATTAATTAATATCTTACATATCATACTTTTGAGTACGGCCTATCAGACATACTTTTAATCCTATTTGACAATCATAATTACGATAAAATGGAGTTTTTAATAGTAATTTTTAGAGAATATATAGTTAAAAAGTATGAAATAATTTTGAATTTATCCGTAGAATATTTTATTGTATGAATGTATGATTTAAAATAAGTATGTAGAATTTTTTTTAGAAATAATGATTGTAAAATAGGACTTTAATAATCTTATTGAAAACTTATTTCAGCATCATTAATGCTCTGTGATAGTGGCCTGTAATCACGAGAATGAGGAGATATAGTCACCCCAAAGAAAAAGAAAGGTACTGAAAGTCAGCAACAAAACAAAGTTCCAACTAATACATCAGATAAATTCCAAATTCCGACTATTGAACCTTCTATTCCATGCTCCAAAAAGCAAAAGGCCACAGACCCTTCTGATTAAATCCTATTACCCGTGAATAAAATAGTTCCCTTTTGGCTCTATCCACTCCAAACTCACCACATAATATGCCAAAAAATTGCCTTCACATGACTTTGTTTTGTATAAATTCTTATAGTGATATACCAAATTCTGATTACAGTTAGCATTTAGTAATAACACCAACCACTCACGGATTCATTATTATGCATACAACCCAATCCTCAAGCTATATAGTACAGTTTCTTGTGTAGAACCTTGTCCTCTCTATACTTCTACCATGGATCCAGTTTTTATCTTTCTTCTTGCAACTTTTCCTTATCTTATACGAGCCGAGCCTCAAAATCCAACCTCGCATATTACTGTAATAGGTTCTGTATATTGTGACGTATGTTATGACAACACATTTAGTAAATATAGCTACTTCTTGCCAGGTAAGAAACACTAACTTTTCAGGCATGTTTGATGTACAATATTAGACAGTACAACCTCACCAAATAAGCTAATACAAAATATATTTCGTACTAATTGGTGTGGTTGTTGACTGTGCTTATCAGGTGTGGATGTTCATGTGCAGTGCAAATTCAAGGCAAAATCACCAGGAACTACAGAACAAATTGCTTTCACAGTTAACAGAATCACAAATAAATTCGGAATGTACAAGTTGGATATATCGTCTGTTGATGGTGTTGATTGTGCTGAAGAGGGGTCGATTCAAACATTCTGTCAAGCGAGCTTGATAGGAAGCTCGATTTCTGCTTGTAATGTTCCGGGTTTAAAGAGTATGTCTACTAAAATAACACTTAAAAGCAAGACAGAAAAATGTGTGCATTTACACATTAGGTGCCTTGAGTTATACACCAAGGACAAGAAATGTCAGCTTGTGTGGGAATCATAAAATGGACACTTCAGATTCTTTCAATTCTTCCAAGTTTTTCCTTCCATTAATACCTCCCTACAGTTTCGTTTGGCCTGCCCTGCCTCAGCTGCCTCCGTTTCCTCAATTTCCTCCGCTACCTCAGCTGCCTCCGTTGCCTCAATTCCACCGCTACCTCCGCTGCCATTTCCAAAACCACCGTCTTTGCCTTTTCCATTCCCGCCTCTTCCTCCTTTCACCCCAACACCCACACAGCTTTCTCCGCCCCCTCCTCATGCGTTTAACTTAGGCGACCCGAGAACTTGGATCCCCAATAATCCCTTACTTCCACCCCCTCCTCCAGAATTTAATCTTGGAGATCCAAGAACTTGGATACCTAAAAATCCTCTATTATCATCTCCTCCACCACCAACCTTTAATTTCCAAGATCCAAGAACCTGGTTACCACATATCCCCACTTCTCCCCCCACAAATCCAAATAGCCATATCCCATAGTGTGATCTTCACTATTTAAAATTTCCATTTATCTCTGTGCGTATCTCGTGTCAGTTATTATCTGCAAAACAAAGAAACAAAGTAGACATCAGAAAACATATGAACAGCATACATCATGTCCCATTCTATTCTTGCACAGCAATCAGATTTGATCCCTCCAGTATTTCAGGATAACGAACAAGGAATCGGTACAGAAAAGCTTGCTTAG